CGAAGCGAAATGACGCGCAGTGTAGAAAGCATATGAGCCAACTCCATTTAACCAAGCGAGAGAAGTGGCAGCCAAGGTGATATTCAGAATTTCTAACACTAGATTTAAAATAGTTTTGTTGCATGAAGCTGAAACGTAGAAGACTGTCATTAACATCAGTGGAAAACACTTGCGTTCACAAACAGCTTTTACTCAGAATACATCAGATTTACTGTCTGACAGAGACTAAGGACAAACAAGCTGGCATTTGGAGAAGTAAGCCTTAAAATACTCTGGACGTGGATCAAACACCAGATGGAAACCACTGAATGTTTAAAACGAAGATAAAAAGACAGACAGAAGAACAAGTTGTGGCGAAACTTGGTGGAAGACATCAAAGGGACGAGTAGCACTCGGGAACAACTGGTACTGACAGTCCAAGACAGAGCTGGTTGGGGATTCCTAATTGATGGCGCATGAATCATGAGGGATAACGGGCTCTGATAGTTTTATATTATTAGCTCCCAGGGATTTCTATACGTTTCACTGTATTTCATTAGGACTAAGTGTTACGGGAGAACTGAAGACTTTGGCTGATTAAAAACTTCATATTAAATGTCATTAATTTCACTACGTTTCTGGGTGTGTTTGTTTTACTCAACTTCTGAACCTGTCTGTTTATATAGTTAATTTCGGACATTTTGGTCTCCTTTTTCTTTATTTTGTCATTTGGGAGATTTTTCTCCGGGAACCTACAAAATGGAAGAAAGACATTTGGGTCAACTATTTGTAAATTGTGAATAATCTTTGGTACATAGGTTGGAGTTTGGTTCTAGTGTTAATTTGGGTTCGTAAATTGCAAATAGATCGATAAACCATACTTCAATAACGGGAACGAGCAAAAACTTGGACGTAACACTAAGCCTCTTGGTCAGCCGTTATTATGGTAGGTGTGGCAGTCCAGAAATGAAGGATTTAGTAACACGTTTTTTGGTTCTGTCAGTGGAAACCATTTAGATTTCTTTATGCTCGTAAGGAAGTAATTGAAGCCGTCATAATCCCGAAGAAATCTTTACGAAATCGGCAAGAACGTGGGTAGGAGGACAACCAAATGTAAGAAAACTCCGATGATTGGATCAGCAGGGCCACTAACGTTTGCATGTTGGAAGGCCGAACATTCACCAGTTCAGTTTTGTACATCCGCAAAATTATGGCTTAGACCGGTATTAGCACACTTATCTATGCTACTAGAATAATAGATTTAATCCCAAAATTGTAGATTTGCCGTGTTGTGACTACCTAATCTGTATGAGGTTACACGGAAATCACACCATAGTCCACAGTGACGCAACCTGTCGTGACAGTCAGCAAAATGACGTTTAGCGCTTCTGAAGGATACACTTGAGCTGAGAATAGAATCATATATCCGATATGAAAAGGAAGAAGTCACACGCCTGTATGGTCGAGTCATGCCAAACGGAACAATTGTTCCCATGTCCACCATTTTCGACCTTCTCTACGTGTTAAGTGTTGGATGCAAATTGTCTCAGTCACCACTGCACATTCTTATGGAAATCAGCCATTTATATTTATCATATAGCAACAGAACCAAGGTCTTATTCCTAGGATGAAAGGCTGACAAAATCGTCAAACACAATTTTCTGTTGGTTCTAAGGTTGAGCGATCGGCTTTCCGATATTTACTGAAATGTAGGCAGTTGGCTCTGTGAGACTTTTGATGCTCACGGTAAGTGACTAGGTCACTCAAGGATTTTACACTTGTAAGTGATGCATTGTACGCTATCCTTAATATGATCTACAATACGTGGTAAATGAGGTGGTTGCAATATGAGAGAGTTTATATAAATACCATTTTTAAAACTGCTTCACACATACTGTTGTCTCTTACCTAGACTATTGAATGTCGTATGAATTGCGCTGGTTACCCATCACCTGTCTCACCTTGGGATAATCTTTGGCTTCTCTGACTGTTTATTATGGATTGATGTCTCATTATTTTATATATTACGATTAAAAATATCGCGAAAGTGTAGAAGTCCTATGTTTGAAATAAAGGTTTGACGGTTACCGAGCTAGTGTCTGTAGTCGCTTGTCAGTGGTCAAATAAATGAAAAAAGTTTCTGTTTTCTGACTATGACATTCACGACATGAAGTCGGGGGCAATCATAATGGATTAGCCTTGGTCGGGCACATAAAATTTCATAATTTGGCAGATGAAAATAGAGACTCTACCGCTAACACTACAAACGGAGGTAAATAACTTTGAAATCCGAATCACATATCTTTATGCCAGTAGTAGTTGACAGAAGATTCTTAGCTACCTTTCTTTGGCTGTCACAACCTTTTCTATAGAACGCTTGACACGCGTTACACTCTTGAAGGTAGTGAAAGGGAACATTATGGGTTATGTTCATCGGTCAATATTTCGCTACTACCACTTATGTTTCCCTTAGTGGGTGCTATCAAATATCTGGAGCTATCATTTAACACCGTGGTAGGACCACAAATAAAGCAACTTGGTTACACGGCCAGATCACGAAGGTAACGTAAGTAAAGCTTCTGAAAAACTGAAATCAGAAGTTTACCCACGATAGGAACAAATGATTCCCAACTTCTGCCAGAAGCATTAGAAATTTTGTAGTTGAACTTAAAGATGCCACAAGTTATCGGAGTTTGAAAATGCCTTAACCAGTGACATCTTTTATAATCAAAATATGCCAACTCAGTCAAATCAGAAATAAGAAGCGAAGAGGTTCGAAGATGCATTTTATAGGCTATCGATATATCAAGGAGTGATCAATCTAAGCTGGCTAGTGGTTGTGAAGCACAGTGTACCCACTCGTGATTTGGTGCGGACGCATGACCGAGCACCTCCAACTAAGTGAGTATAATAAAATCAGTGGGGTCAGCACCAAATGTCAGAGAATTACAGAGCCATTTGTTTCGGGGTTTTATTTTCCGCTAAAAACTAACCTACGCACAATTGCCCAGAAATTCAGCTATCCCATATTTCAGAGACAACCTCGAGTGCAAGTTATCAGATAACTTCATGAAGCGATTAGCAGTTAGAATGTTTACTTTATTTTCATTGACGGATTATTTATGAACTTTATTAGGAATTTAACGAAGAAAATATGAAATGCAGCTGGCACAATCTGCACTCAAGCAGCCCAAGAGAATATTCTCGTACATAAACCACCGAACAAGGATGCATCATTGAATTCCCAACCTAATTAAAGTAGGAAGTGAATCTGAAATGATAGAGGAAGATCAGGAAAAAGCACAGGTTATGGCTGACTATTTTGGGGCAGTTTTCACTCAGGAACCTCCTCTAGAGAAAGAACCAGACCCAATTACAGAGTCAACAAACCAGCTGCTCACCGTGGACTTCGACCAAAACGATGTGCTTAAGGCTCTTAGCACCCTAAACATGGAGAAGTCAACAGGACCAGATGAACTACACCCTAAAATCTTGAGACATATTGCCCAATATATCGCAGCCCCACTGACTGTGATATTCAAAATGTCACTTGACCAAGGTGTGTTACCTATGGACTGGAAGGACGCAATCGTCACTCCCATACATAAAACAGGTCCACGACAAGTTCCATCAAATTACAGACCCGTAAGCCTCACCAGTGTTGTAATTAAAATACTGGAAAGAATAATCAAACGGACCATAACAGCATTTATGGAAACCAATAACTTGCTGAACATGGCACAACATGGTTTTAGAAAGGGTCTATCCTGTACAACGAACCTCCTTATAGCTAGGGAGCTCTGGATTAATGCGCTAGACAACGGAAACTCAGTGGATGTTGTCTACATAGACTTCAGTAAGGCTTTTGACAAGGTGCCAACTAATAGGCTGCTATTGAAGTTGGCAAACCTTGGTATTGCCGGACCTCTTTTAAAATGGATTAAGGATTTCCTAGTAGGTCGTAGGCAAAAAGTAAGAATAAATTCCAAGTGCTCCATCTGGAGACCAGTACTTAGTGGAGTACCCCAAGGTTCCGTCTTAGGTCCTTTACTTTTTATAATGTACGTTAATGATCTTACAAGTATAGTACAGTCTCCAATGTTATTATACGCTGACGATGTAAAAATTTGGCGAGTAATAACTGGAGACAAAGACGCATTTACTCTTCAGGCGGACTTAAATAATATGATAAACTGGTCTAAAGAGTGGCTAATGCCTATCAACTCGGAAAAGTGTGTCTACATGCACTTGGGGGATTCAAAGGTTAATACGTACAACATAGGGGATGTGTCATTACCCGTAGTCCGGTCTCATAAGGACCTAGGGGTGACAGTGAGCAATGATCTTAAGACGACGGCCCATTGCCGGGAGGTCGCAGTTAAGGGGTTTCGAACCCTCTGGGCTTTAAAAAGGACATTCACTAAGCTTGATACTACCATGTTCACCACATTATACACATCCTTAGTGAGAACTAAGTTAGAGAACTGTGTTCAGGCTGCAAGCCCCTGTTTAAAAGGTGACTCAGACATAATAGAAAAGGTACAGAGGGCAGCTACGCGTGCAATTCCGGAACTCCGGGGTTTATCATATAAAGAGCGGCTTGAAAAACTGAACCTCTTTACTCTGTCCTATCGCAGACTAAGGGGAGATCTAATATTGATGTACAGAATACTGAGAAATGATTTCGGACCTAACTTATTCTCTCTCTTTCTTCCCACTAGATCGGGACACCTCAGAGGACATAGCAGGCGAGTAGAAAAGCCAAGAACGAACAAAATACCCGTGGCATACAGGTTTTCACACCGAGTCATCAATACTTGGAACCTGCTGCCTGAAGCAGTGGTGTCCGCACCTTCAATTGACTCTTTCAAGAGAAGACTGGACACTCACAGAAGCATACTAGAAAAGGAATAACATAGGCCGTCGGCTTTCTGTCCTTACTACACAAATCTGAATCTGAGTCTTATGTCGCATATCAGTAGATTGGGTTCTCTTTTGTCTCAAGTCAAAACGCTATTCGTGTTGCCTTCAAAATATGGAAAACTTCGAACTCATGTCACAAATCCACACTGCAAAGATGTTAGCAAGATAATATAAATCACAAAGATTTCTACCCTTTCTAGTGAAGACTGATCGCTTTTGTAACCATAAGTCAAGCGCAAGGTTGGAAAGTTCACGAAACAGCGGGTCATTACCTCTCCTTCGACTAAATGTTCTTCACTTGACTTGTCTTGCCCTCTTACAGCAAAATGCTGTCTCACAAAGTGTCTACAAAATGTATTCGAGAATTCTGCCAGGTTACCGGTAGGTCATTGTAACAGTGCTTGATGTTTTTCAGGGTCTGACGAAGAAACTGCTCGTTCATTCTTGTCAGCTTGTAATAATAATTTGGAATTGGCTGTTAGTCTTTACATGGATGATCCAAGTAGGGTTCCTCCCCAGAGTTCAACGGAAGAATACCGGACTCCTATTCCTCAAAGAAACGAACAGCTACTCCCCGTTGTTGTACCACTTCGTAAGTTGATCAACTTATTTGTAAATATATATTCAATTGTAACTTAATTTAAATGGCAGTGTGCTTTACCTCCTGTGGTGTTGTACAAGTGTTAGGGCATGAGCATTTTGTTGGAAAAACAACTTTGCTTTGTGTTTGTGGTCTGATTTGTAAATATTTCAAGATCTGACAGCTGTGGTAATATGGTGAATTCTTAAGTACATTTTAGTTTCAGTAGACATGAATCATATCTCGGTTTTGACGTTCGTATTGCACCGTCAGTCTTTTTTCTTTAGCAACACTGCTTTCCAACATGTAACACGGAGAAAAGCGTGTTTACGTGTTTGTCCAGCATCTCATCCAAAACTTTCATAACTATTTTCAGTTTTTGCCTTTGTCTGTGTGTGCTTAACGTTGATTCGCTTAGGAATGTTGGTGCCTCCTGTAAGAGTTAGTGGTACGCTCCAAATCCTGTCCTAAATCTATCACTTGTTAGCTAAAATGAAATAAGAGTATTGCCTTTTTTTCACATGTATGATCCTTTCGTTTGAGTATCGTTTACATATTTAAGGTTACTGCTTTCGAACTGAAAATTTTCACTGAATTTACTTGACTTGTTATTTAATATTATTTTTAACAACAATTTAGATCTTCAGTTCAATGAATAGCTAATGCTAAAGTTATCAATGTTTATTTTTTAAACCAACGGTAGTGTGTCTGTTGTAATGTAAACTTTCCAAATTTACTCTGGTAATCACACAATGTTTAGGCAAACGGATAACAAATTAAAAGCATTGACGCTGACAGGACCTCTATCAAGCAATATGGATCTCTCTACAATGCTTGGTGGAGCAATTTGTCATTTCATAAACGGATGTCATATTTTGATCTGATTGTCCCATCTTTTTCAATGAAGACCATCGTAACACTGAGACAGGCTGTACAATGACAAAACCTTTCATTACTCCTAGATGGACACTGGCGTGTGAATAGTTAATGTCCTGAATTCAGACATCCGCGATCGTGTTTAAATACCAGGACGTAGAGAGTATCTAATTTATTTCCCGACCGTTGTTGCTACCTTGACGTAGTGGTCGGGCTTGCCTATTGTGATGAAGCAACCGAGCTATACTGGCTGGAACAACCGTTCTTCAAGGTCCTACCATGCCAGACAGGTCGGTTGAAGAGCGGTAAGACTAAAAGCAACAAACTGAAGGTCCGAAGGCGAAGTTATACTGCTGACTGTACAAAGGCGTGACAGCAGTAAGGTGTTTCCTTCAAACAACCAGCATAACAGCGATGCTGCCTTCCCACAAGGAGGGGTGGGGTTAGAAAAGGTCGACCCTAAAAATGCACACATCGCCTTATCCCACGGATATCCGTTTCATGCGGTAAGGTCTCAACAAGTACGGGGCTAACACGAAAATTACCCATAAAAAGGTCGTGTTTGACCGACCTCAAGCAGTTGTCCCTTGGGCATTGCGGTCACGCTCCCAGGTCACTAAGACCACCTCTAATCCAATTTCCTTTTCAGGTACCTTCAGAAGAACCCTTCCACAGGGTGGGCAACCGGGAAGTGATAACCGCCCTCATACCTCTAACAGCACTCAACCTGTCTAGTTTATTTCACCAGCAGCCCTCAAAATTTTAATTCCCTTGGTTATGATGTCCTTTTGCTTTACTGCTTTTATTCATTATACTCCTTATAGGTGTCTTTCTATGATCGATAGACCATGTTAATGAAGCAGTTAGCAATCCATATACCTTTGATTTTCATGAGAGATGTACTCAAACTTACGGTTTAGGGTAACTAACTACTTAGTAAGTAGAAAACAAGTCATATTTTGCATTTCCTTCTGAAAAAATAATACGTCTGCTCATGCTACAGTACTACTATCCTTTTCGACGATTCATAACAAATGGCTAAGTAAGGTATCTGAACATTTGAGTTGCATAAAAAGGTCGTAAATTGCATTCAAATTAATATGTTCAAATTATTGTGGCCTGTTGCGTTTTCTGTATATGTATGTATCAAATGCTCTTGCAAAATTGAGTTTGTATTTGCATTCAATAAAAGTCTCTTGATTCATGTGCTGGAACTTTGGGGGTCCACTTAGGACTAAAAATAATATTCTGTCGCGACCGTTGCTGCTACCTTGACGTGGTGGTCAAACATGTATATCATGACGAGCCAGTCGAGTTATACTGACTTGAATAATCGTTCCTCAAGGTCCTACCATGTCAGACAGGTTGGTCGGAGAGAGGTAAGACCAAAAGCAGCAAACCCAAGGTCCGAGGGCGAAGTCATACTGCTGACTGTACAAAGGCGTGACAGCAGTAAGGTGTTTCCTTCAAACAACCAGCATAACAGCGATGCTGCCTTCCCACAAGGAGGAGTGGGGTTAGAAAAGGTCGACCCTAAAAATGCACACATCGCCTTATCCCACGGATATCCGTTTCATGCGGTAAGGTCTCAACAAGTACGGGGCTAACACGAAAATTACTCACAAAAAGGTCGTATGTTATCGACCTCAAGCAGTTGTCTCTTGGGCACCGTAGTCACGCTCTCAGGTCACCAAGATCACCTCTAATCCAATTTCCTTTTCAGGTACGTCCTGAATTCACTTGACGTCACCTTACCAAAACGGGGAGCCGATCAGATGGCTAGTTCTCGTGAACTGGCAGGTGTAGGCATAGCACTAAGTACGAGAGCAGAACAGGCACCATTAGAGTGGATCCCTGTTAACAGTCGCCTATGTGCTGTCCGGATACATGGTTCCGTAAGAACTCGGAGGGATGGAGACGCACGTTGTTGCTTTTCGTAATTTCTGCTTACGCTCCCTCTGACTGCAGCCTGGATAAAGTGAATGGTGAATTTTACAAAAAGCTTTCTGACCTTCAAAAAGCTAAACGCTCAGGTATACTACTCATGGCAGGTGAATTTAATGCACAAGTAGGTAGCTTAAACCAAACGGAAAGACATCAAAGTGGGTATTTTAGTATTCCGGCTCAGCGAACAGATAATGGTGACTGTCTACCGCAACTGTGCTCAGACAATCGTTTATTCTTAGCAAACACTAATTTTAAGCATAAGGAGAGAAATCGTCTAACATGGCGACACCCTGTATCAAACTAACGATGGACTCAGACTATATTGTCATCAGTCATCGTTGGAGGGCTCTATAGAAGACTACCACTCGTTCTGGAGTACATGTTTAGACTCTGGTCATGCTTTAATACGAGGATGCATTTGCTTGCATCTCACTGGACACAGAAAAACCACGTTAAGAAGACCCATTAGAGTTGAACTCAGTGACGAAAAAGCCAAAAGTAGATTCTAGGAACGACTAATAAAAAAAGAGGAAATAAAAACTCAAGTGTAAGTGAAACTATCTCGAAAGAAGGCTGCACTCTTATCTGCTCCTAGTCCAGACGTTTAGGACGATGGGCGGAACACTTTAAGCAGCAGTTCAGTTGGCATTCATCTACTCTACAACTACCCACCATTCTTAAACAGCCTGAATGAAACATTCAAGTAGTTTCAACGACTCTAATTGAAGTTCAGAAAGCTATAGCTAATCTGAAAAGAGGAAGAGCAGCTGGTTCAGATAGATTGGCTGCGGAAATCTTTAAGGATGGTGGTCCAGTTTTAGCGGTTAGGTTGACTAATACTTTAGCTAAAGTCGGGAAACTAGATGTAATTTTTTCCTCTTTCCAAATTTATTTCACTGGATTATACTCCTTGAATAACATCTTTAAACCCTAATCTTTCCGATTACTGCTTATACTCTTACTACCTCTATCACTACGGGATTTGAATCGACAGCTGCATCTCTGTGCTAATGTGGTATGGCAACTCGAACTGATGTAGATACGTACGAAGTTCTACGTTGTTACTGACTGGCTGGTCGCAATCACTGGCTGTCCCAACATATAAGAAAAGATCAAAATCATCCTGTGATAACCATAGAGGGATTAGTCTAACTAATGTAGCATCTAAAACACTAGCCTCAATAATTATTAGATGCCTAACAAAGACTCATGAGTTGTAAACATGAGAAAATCAGGCTTGCTTCAGACCTGATCATGGCTACATCGACCACATATTCACCATTCGTCAGATCTTAGAACACAGGGATGCTTATCGGCGTCCGACTGTGATATTTTTTCTTGACTTAAAAGCAGCATTAGACCGAGAGGGTCTGTGGCAGTGTCTGTCATTGAAATGTGTATCTCAGAAGTACATAAACCTTGTGAAGGCTCTTTACTCGGTCACTACTAGGGCTTATGGCGAACTGTCATCTGATTTTGCAGCCTCAAGTGATGTATGACAAGGCTGTTCACTATCTTCATTTTTGTTCAATTTCATTATAAACCTACTACTGAAAATAACGTTCTCGTCGACTGGATTTTCGGGAATCGATCTATCAGGAGGTCCTTTTATCGACTTAGAATACGCAGATGACATAGTCCTGTTTGGTGAAGACGCTGATAATATTCAGAGTCCTCTGGTAGCACTGAGCAACAATGCCAGAATGTTTGGGATGCGCTCCTCCTCTTCTAAATTCAAGTTGTTGCTTCAGAACAAGCCTGCGTCAACACCTGAACTAAGAATAGGGAGTGGAGTAGTCGAACGCGTCGACAACTTCACTTATCTTGGAAGTCTGATCAGCCCTAATGGGTTGGTATCGGACGAAATCTCAGCACGGATTCGAAAAGCTCGCTTGGCTTTTGCCAACTTACGTCACCTATGGCGAAGACGAGATATTCGTCTATCAATTAAGGGACGAGTATACTGTACAGCAATTCGTCCTGTTATACTTTACAGTAGCGAAACGTGGCCATTAGGAGTAGAAGATGCTCTTAAGTTACTAGTATTTGATCACAGATGCCTTAGAAATATTGCTTGCATCTGCTGGAATCACCGGGTAAGTAATAGTGAGGTTAGACGTAGGGTAATAGGGAATAATGGTAAATCAGTTGATAAAGTTGTGAATCTTCATCGACTGAGGTGGTTGGGCTACGTGTTACGTATGCCTGAACACCGATTACCTTGACGCGCACTGCTAGCCGGTGTTGGGGATGGTTGGAAGAAAGTTAGGGGTGGCCAAACCAAAACATGGCATCCTTATATCCAGTCTTTATTTTATATATTACCACTATTGAATTAACTACTTCTATGAATTCGGTGTTCATCTTGCTGTGCTAATGCGGTATGTTAACTTGGACCGATGTATATATGTGTCTGGTCCTACGTTGTAGCTGACTGACTCATTGACTGATAATATTCTGTGGACTTTACTGTAATTATACTTATTTATTCTAGAGTAGACACATATCAAGTCTAAGAAATAGTTTTCAATTGATATCGTTCAAATTTTATGTTCAGTTTTTTGCTTTGTGAGGCTTTAGCTGTCATAAAGCTTGTATCTTTATTTGAATTTCTAGTTCCCGTTCACCTGCAAAACTCACCTCTCATGCAAACACGTCGACGCGCGTTCGTTGCGGAAGATTCGGACGATAACTCAGATGATGACACAATAACCAGTGGTGCAAGGTGCCAGCCGTTTGAAAAGTCACAGTTAGCTTCGAAATCAGTATGTTCATGTTAATTATACAATCTTTGGTTAGGCATTGTTTTGACTAACATCTGATGGTATTTAGTTGTATAGATCATGTTTTCGTGCATATAAATGTTTTACGTATCTGAGTGACCTAGTTATTCAATCATATTGATCGCTTTATTTTCTATAGGCTGAAATTTGTTTGCACTTAACAAGCATGGGGTACCACTTTGGGGCTAGTTTTGCATAAACCTAGTTTTAAAGTAGGATATGTGGTAGTTGTTTTGGGCGATCAGTCCACCTATCAAAAAAGTTACATCAGCTATAGTTCGTTGCTCTATAACACTTACTAATCAAGTTATTTCACGGACTGATGGGATGACTAAACGGTCAACATATCCTTTCTTTTGTTCTTGTGTTGAAGATTTTTTATTTTATTTTATTTGGACACATGAATATTGGTACAAGAGAGCGCCAAAATGTATGCGCCACACAAAACAATGAAAATTCGAGAGGAATACAAAGAAAGAAGAAAAAAAAGCTAAGGAGCGCAACAAAAAAAAGAGAGAACAATAACGAAGAGATTGGTGTAAGGTAATGTGCTAGTAATCAGGAAACGCAAGGTACAATCAGAAGAAATCTTTCAGGTAAGGGAGACACAACCACTTTTTAGGAAGAAAGTAAAAGAAGGTTACAGCAGGATCGCCACTGGCTTCTATTCTGAGCCATATCTGATAACGTCTCTAGCCACTGTGTAGCACCATCTCTCGGACCCCAACCAGGGAGTCGTGAAGGACCAACACAAGCCAGTCCTTTGCAGCTTTCTTTCATGCCACGACACCATGTCATGCACTGACCACCTCTCCGCTTCTTCCAACCAGTCCCAGAGTCGGCAAATAATGCACGACGTGGAATTCTCTGGGACGACATTCGGAGAACATGTCCAAGCCACCGAAGTCGGTGTTTCAAGATGGTGACACCAATTGAATTATCATCTCTGTGCCCGAACACACGATGCCGAACCTCTGCATTACTGACATGGTGTTGCCACTGAATGTCAGCAATCCTTCGGAGACAGCGATGATCGAACACAGAGAGTCGTCTAACGTCCTCAACTCGGAGAGGCCAGGTTTCACAAGCATAGAGCAAAACTGCTCTCACCGACGCGTTGTAGATCCGACCTTTTACAGCCAGACTAACATCACGAAGGCGCCAAAGATGGCCCAGATTGGCATAAGCCGCTCTGGCTTTCACTATACGTGCATTGATCTCATCACTCACACCCCCACCAGCACTTATGCAGCTACCCAGATACACGAACTTCTCGACTACTTCTATCTGCTCACCATCCAGGGTGAGTACAGGATTAGAATCCTGCCAGTCTTGTAGAAGTACTTTGCACTTCGAAGGTGCAAAGCACATACCATACCTACGGACACTGATTGCCAACTGATTAAGTGCGGATTGCATGCCTTGGGCATTATCGCACAGTAAGACAATATCGTCCGCATACTCAAGGTCGAGAAGTCTTTCTCCAGGCAACAGATCCACACCACCATTACTTACATCCATCAGAGCTGTTTCCAGAATGTCATCGATGGCAAAGTTGAAGAGGAATGGTGAGATTGGGCAACCCTGCCTAACCCCACTGCTCGAATGGAACAATGGAGAAAGGTGGTTGTATGCCCTCACTCTGCCTGAGGTGTTTGTATATAGGGCTTTCAGGATGTTAATAAACTTCTCAGGCACACCCTTCTTCAATAGACAATCCCAGAGAACAGTTCTGTCCAACGAATCGAAGGCAGCCCTGATGTCAAGAAACACTACGATTGTTGGCCTTTGATAAGTATGGCGGTGTTCTAACATTTGGAGGAGGGTGAAGATATGATCAATACATCCTCGACCAGAACGAAACCCGGCCTGCTCCTCGCAAGTCAATCTTTCTCGGGTTTTGAACAACCTACGAAGTATGACGGAAGCCAATAGCTTGGACGCAATCGGAAGTAGACTTATCCCCCTTTGTAAACAACGTCGTCAATTCCTTAGTCAAAAAGTCACCACCATCTTTAAAAAGAGCCGGAGGTAAGTCATCTGGGCCAGGTGATTTGTAACGCTTCAAGAGTTGGAGTTCCTTGCGGACTTCCTCCTCATTTGGTGGATCAGTCGTCACCGGCCATGGAGGGCAGGACAGTCTGACCGATGTTGCCGGAGCAGCAGGCCAGTTGAACTGCCCTTCGAAAAATTCTGCCCATCGTCCAAGACGTCGATGGATGTTAGTGATTGGCATCCCATCATCCTCGCAGATTGTTTCACTCACACCAGACTTCTTGCTGCCAGTGGCTCGGATGAGTTGGAAGAGCTTCCGGTAGTTACCAGATGCAGCTGCTGCTTCCAGCTCATTAGCACGCTTCGACCACCAGGCTTCTCGGTCCTTACGCAAGCTTTGCCCAATTTCCTTACGTAACATCCTTCGTTTATGGTCAAACTCACGGTCACCCGGAGTAGACCGACGGGCTTCAATGAGTTGTAAGGAACCAGAAGAAACCCAGTGCTTAAAGCGGGACGTTTCGCAAACCCACAACTGACTGTTCCCGCCATTTTCATGGCGTCATGCAATTGCAACCAATGCTCATCTATACTTTTCGGTGGAGTGGTAGCTAGCCTAGAGGCTAGCTCGGTTCGATACTTACTTGCAACAGAAGTTGCAACCAGCTTGCTAACATCAATCCGTTGATGGCGGTCACTTCGTTGTCCACTGAAAAGTAAGGCAAGATTGGCGCAGACCAAGGCATGGTCAGAGTCCAGATAGGTACTCCAAAAGGAGCGGCAGTCTTGTACACAACCACGCCAGCGGTAGCTGATCGCGATGTGATCAATCTGAGTCCAGGCTTGAGATGCAGAGGGAGGACGCCAGGTGGCACATCGGCGATGACTGTGCCGAAAGTTAGTGCTAGCCAGAAACAGGTTGTGGTCTGTGCACAGTTGCAGTAGACGGTCCCCGTTATCTGACCTGCGACCAACGAGTCCCCATCGGCCACCTAAACGACTCTCTTCTGTGCCTAGACGCCCGACCTGAGCATTCAAGTCTCCGGCTAGTACTACAATATCTGTCGAACGCACTTTCTGGAGAAGAACAGATAACTGGTGGTAAAACTCATCCTTGATTGCATCCGGGCTGCAATCTGTCGGGGCATAGGCGGAGATGACGAAAAGACATCGTTTCTCACGCCGATTTCTTCTCACTTTGATGGAACTTTCTAATCTAACAGCACATAACCGACTGTTAATGGGGATCCAATCGACTAGTGCTGCCTCAGCTCTAGCGCTTAGTGCGACACCAACGCCAGCAAGACCAGACGAAGATGCCACAGGGTCCCCGGATAAGCGCACGTAAAACAAGCTTTTCGAAGCGACAGATGGAGATCGAATTTGTAGTACTTCGCCAGAGTCTTGAATACGGGTCTCGGATAGACAACAACATCGATATTAAGACTTTCCAAAGACATAGCCAGCCCTATCTGTTGTCCAACCTGCATAAGTGTGCGAACGTTGAAGGCAGCCAGTTTGAATGGTGCACGTGGTTTCAGAAAAACTGCTTCAGTCTCGTATTCGGTGGTAACATACAATTTTCAACCGGACAGTGACTCGAGAACGTTTAGATACAGTCGAATTTCCACCAAAGACGAGCCGCTGTATAAGTATAAAAGAGGGTGAATAATGTGGAAAATAATAATAATAATAATAATAATAATAATAATGACAATAATAGTAATGATAATTATTTGAATCGATTGATTGTTTTTCGGAGCGAGAAAAGCAGTTGCCATAGACATAGAGTTCATCGTTTGTGTGTGGGCTGTGATACTGCCCGGGTGCCCAAACCGAAGCAGGTGGTTATCTTAGGGGGCCACTCCCCGAGCCTTTGACCTAAAGGTCTAACCCACAAGGCAGTGGAGCATCGTAAGGAGATGCAGTCCCATGGTAGCCGGTGACCAAAGATTGGTTCATACGCCATTTGTTCCCGCAGGATACTGGAGCCCATGTGCACCATTGGTTTGTGATCCGGTTAAAGCGCCGGACATTCGCTTTTCGTCCTCTCATTTTCGTAAACAACACCCCCGCCACGAGAAGGCAATGAGTAGGACTTCCCTGGCAGAGGCTGTATACGCGTGGCCGTGTGAGAGTATTTCGAGAGGGAGAACGGACTCTCCCCACTCTCGGCCGTACCAGGGCATTTGGGGGCGTTAACAATGGACGTCTTAGGGTTACATTTATTTTCTAAATGTTGTTTGCACACAATAAGTCCATCATAAGCAATGTCAAACTCGATAAAAATTTGCATTGGGCAAATATAATCCGTTCTCTCTGATCCAATCAATTGTATTGCGGTTGTAGGTTCACATTAGATTGATGCTCGACAGATTTTTCGATTTATGACCCAAATACAGGAACTCTTGATCAACGGAGTCGAATAAAACCCTTAAGTCGAAAAATAGGGCTGTAATCTTTCATTGGTATGTGTTTCAGAACCCCGTGCAATGTAAAGATTGTACGTATATATATATATATATATATATATATATATATATATATATATATATATATATATATATATATATATATATATATATATATATATATATATAGTGCCTGGGTCTGAAACTAGGCTGGCTATCTCTGGTTTGTCGTCCTCATGATTCAGGTAGGCGCGTGATGATAATCTTGTTCGGAATCCATCTATATAATTTCCTTAGCACCAATTAATTTAGCCGTGGTTTCATTTATCCACTATCCCTTAATAGCATTTTCAATTAAGTTGCTAGTAGACACTACTGTTTGCTCTGAAATATGATTACTGACCATACAAGTTCGTCTCAAGATGAACATCTTGATTGTTGATTAAGTGCTTAACTGACTGTCTCTTAAATATATACTTGATATTTTATTCGAGCTGGTCTCTAAGAGTTCTTACTGAGGTTCACCAACATTGTTTTATGATTCCTATTAATGATCACTACTATATCTTTCAAGTCAAAACTAATTGTTCGCCTGACGCTTTTCAAATGAAATCCATAATCAACCACGTGTAACGCTCACTCTAGAAGAATTTCATTTAAATGATAGGAGAGTCTCTTTAATTTTCATCCTATAATTTGAATTCCTGCTGTATTAGAAAATATCCACAAAGTTTTATGCGTCACTTGTAATATTTGCCTTCACTTTGTTTATTGTTTGAACGAATTAGAGCTTAGTGAATTTATTGTCTTTATCACTGAAGCTACAGGTAAATTTATTGCAAACCCTGTAGACTGAGCCACAGAATTAGTTGCACAAATAATATTTTTTTTTAAACAATTTTCATATCTGTTTGTTTTAAGGATCATTCAATTAAACAACGGTGTTCAAAAGATAATGGATCTGATTCAACTTTACTAAATACTGATGGCACTAGCTCTGGTTCTTCTTCACTTTCTTCGGGGCATATTAATGGAGTTAAAGATGGTGTTAAAAGAAAAAGAAAGCATTTGCAACAACTTTACCAACCTCCAGTCGAGATATTGTTCGATGGGACAGTACAAGCTGTAAGTGTAAGAGTAGTTGTTTTTAATTGAGGTCATGAATTGATCGACGTTAGACCACCATTGCAAACTTGGAAGCACTGGACGACCCCTTTGTCCTAGTATGGGATGGTCTATTGAAGAAGGGTGTGCCTGAGAAGTTTATTAACATCCTAAAAGCCCTATATACAAACACCTCAGGCAGAGTGAAGGCATACAACCACCTTTCTCCATTGTTCCATTCGAGCAGTGGGGTTAGGCAGGGTTGCCCAATCTCACCATTCCTCTTCAACTTTGCCATCGACGACATTCTGGAAACAGCTCTGATGAATGTAAGTAATGGTGGTGTGGATCTGTTGCCTGGAGAAAGACTTCTCGACCTTGAGTATGCGGACGATATTGTCTTACTGTGCGATAATGCCCAAGGCATGCAATCCGCACTTAATCAGTTGGCAATCAGTGTCCGTAGGTATGGTATGTGCTTTGCGCCTTCGAAGTGCAAAGTACTCCTACAAGACTGGCAGGATTCTAATCCTGTACTCACCCTGGATGGTGAGCAGATAGAAGTATTCGAGAAGTTCGTGTATCTGGGTAGCTGCACAAGTGCTGGTGGGGGTGTGAGTGATGAGATCAATGCACGTATAGTGAAAGCCAGAGCGGCTTATGCCAATCTGGGCCATCTTTGGCGCCTTCGTGATGTTAGTCTGGCTGTAAAAGGTCGGATCTACAACGCGTCGGTGAGAGCAGTTTTGCTCTATGCTTGTGAAACCTGACCTCTCCGAGTTGAGGACGTTAGACGACTCTCTGTGTTCGATCATCGCTGTCTCCGAAGGATTGCTGACATTCAGTGGCAACACCATGTCAGTAATGCAGAGGTTCGGCATCGTGTGTTCGGGCACAGAGATGATAATTCAATTGGTGTTACCATCTTGAAACACCGACTTCGGTGGCTTGGACATGTTCTCCGAATGTCGTCCCAGAGAATTCCACGTCGTGCATTGTTTGCCGACTCTGGGACTGGTTGGAAGAAGCGGAGAGGTGGTCAGTGCATGACATGGTGTCGTAGCATGAAAGAAAGCTGCAAAGGGCTGGCTTGTGTTGGTCCTTCACGACTCCCCGGCTGGGGTCCGAGAGATGGTGCTACACAGTGGCTAGAGACGTTATCAGATATGGCTCAGAATAGAAGCCAGTGGCGATCCTGCTGTAACCTTCTTTTACTTTCTTCCTAAAAAGTGGTTGTGTCTCCCTTACCTGAAAGATTTCTTCTGGTTGTACCTTTCTGTTACCCCATTATTATTATTATTATTATTATTATTATTATTATTATTATATTTATTATTATTACACTACCTTACAGTAATCTGTTCGTTATTGTTCTCTTTTTCTTTCACGCTCCTTACCTTTTTTTTCCTTGTCTTTAAATTCTCATTGTTTTGTGTGGCGCATATATATATATATATATATATATTTGGTGCCCTCTTGTACCAATATTTATGTGTTCAAATGAATAAATAAATATGGGACTCCTCAGCAGTGCGCATCCACGATCTCCCACTCGGGACTCGAACTTAAGACCTTCGGTCTCGCGCGCGAACACTTAACCTCTAGACTACTGAGCTGGCATCCAACGGTGTTAATGTCTAACTCCAGCAAATCCACGAAATTGATAACCAAAGCACATTACTTTCGTGTATTAGCATGTCACAATACTTAACTGCAAGCTAACCATCTATCAAACTAATTCTACTGAATAATTTTGAGTTCATAAATCAATATTGTTTGTCTGATACAGTCACCAAAATTTCGTTTAAATAGATTTTAGGAGGAAAAAATTATTAGCCAACTAAGGAATATATTTTAGGGAATTAAAACTACTATGAAAAGCTACTTAATTAAGATTGAATGTTTATGAGTTACTTACCAAATAATATGTGAGTAGTGATAAAAATAAAAGTCAAAAATGACCATTAAGACTTCTTTCTTTTTTGTCTTATCAAAAACTCAAGTACTTAGAATACTGATTAGTGACGAAATTTCAATTGTGCTGTGTTTTACTTCATAAATAGTTATCAAACCATCAAAAATAAGTTGAAATAGGGGTCAGTTTAGCCAAATGTCTAATTATAGTCTATATAGAAAATAAAGAATAGGCGTTATCAGCTAATGTAACCTACTTATCAAATACATGTTTATATACTCGACTTTGAGCTATACTGTCTGTAAAGTGGCTAGTAATACTACTTGACTTTCCAAACCGAAATAGGTGAAACATGCTTCAAATTTGAGAACAGTGGAGCTGTGTATTTCAACCATCAAGTCACCGCTCTACTTATTGGTGTATGATATATAACCTTATGTCTTCCATCCTATCAAACTCACTTTTTTTCCATTTTAAAACAGGCTGAACTTGCTGCACAAGAAAAACATCAATGGTTACTTGTCAGTATACACGATGAAGGATGCTTTGAGTGTCATCTGCTAAATCGTGATGTTTGGAAGGACCCGAAAATCTACCAACTTATTAAACGCCATTGTACTTTTGTACAAGTAAGTATAAAATATATGCCCATATAATATAAGTTGTAGAATACTGTTTGTAAAAATGTATGCCATTCATTTTCTTTCTGTACACAAATGTTGTAACAACTATCTGTTTTAACCCAACTGCTAGGTAACCACTTGCCTTCATGTATTCTTTTGATCAGGCAGTTTACTACAGAAGGAAAGAAAGCAGAGGTGATTCGTATATACTTAGTACAAGCTTGTTATTTTGTTTATTCAATACACAAATTGTGGTACGATTAAGCAACAATAATACTGTGCCCCACACAAAACAAGGAGATATTTTAAAGAAGTAAGATAGGAAAAGAATGCCTAATCAAAATAGGTGGATAAATAAATGATTAAGAATAGTGTAGGATATAACATTATAAAATACAATCAGGAAATATTCCTCTCACTTAAGAAAGCTCATCTCATTTTCATGAAGGATCTAAAAACTTTCATCAGGATCTCCATTGGCTCCTATTTTGAGTTATGTCTGGTAACCTACCAGGACAATGAGTTGCACCATCTCCAGGACCCCAACGGGAAGGTTCTTGATGGGTCGACAGAAACCAGTTCTTTATGATTTCTTTTCATACCACAGAGTCATATCCTAAGCTGGCTAACACCCCGCCTTTTCGACCCAGCCTCGGTTTCTGCAGACGATACGCGATTTGAAAGTCTCTGTGGTGACATTTCTAAAACATAACCAAACCACCAAAGCCGACGTTTCAAGATGGTGACACTAATTGCATTGTCATCACGGCACCCAAATGCGCATTTTTGGGCTTCAAAATTACTAACACGATATTGATACTGGATCCAAACTATCCTTTGGAGACAGTAATAATCAAACACAGAGTCCTCGGTAAGACTATAATTTATGGACGACCTTTGAGCGACGTTAAAGTGGCTTCGAGAATGTCCACCTACTTGCTAGAGTTAAATGAGAGTTATAAACCTGTCTGAAGAGTAAGGATTTTGATTCACAGTTGATGGTTAGGGTCAGAAATCAAATTTACAGTTTTCATCACGAACTGACACCAGTTATAATGCCAAAACTTTATTTATCCAAATAGTTGAATGAATTTCGCGTCAAAATCCAAGATCTGTTATCCTAAACCTGATTGGTTCGTCCATAAATTATAGTCTCACCGAGTGCTCATTTACCTTTAGGTTGGAGCGGCAAGGTTTCACGAGCATAGAATGGAGCTGCTGTCACTAATATGTTATAAACCCTACCTTCTACAGACAGACTAATATCGAAATGGCGCTAAAATGGATTAATCTAAGCCACTGTGACTGTTATTATATGCAAACTGATCTTATGTAACACATCACTACCAGCACTCACATAACTACCAAGGTACACGGACTTTTTGACTACTAACACACCACACACCTAAGTGAATGCAGACAAACGCTCCTTCCAGGCTTGTAATCTAACCTACTACACCAACACAGTGCATCCTTAAAGAAAAAAAATGGAACGAGACGTTTAATACTAGATGTGACTACAATCAAAATATTTTGTACGCTAACTACAAATCGATACCATAAACATGTTTTTCTATTAATAGTCTACTTGTTCAACGTTTCCTCCCTATCGATACTAATATTTCTGCATAAATCGAATATATTCTCAGTTGTTGAATGTTCTATTTCACAGACCCTATCAAAAGTAGAACGATTAGTTCATGAAACAAATCCTCAAATATGCATAATCGTATATATACATGTTTATCTTCCAGAGTAGCCTAGCGAAGAAAAAGTAATTAGTTGGATCCTGTCTTATGTAACATGTAGTGAGTTCATTCTCAAATTCATACTTTATCATTTCGAAAATCCAATTAAAGATTTTTAGATGTTTACACTTAAACCTATTTTACGTTGTTTTTAGAAACTTTAACCATCCACTGTGTAAAACCACATTTATTTGTACAGCTTTAATAATGAACTCATTGAAAAGAATTCATTCACTAAATGACTTGTTCTTTGACTTGATATGTATATTGACATTAGTTATTGAAACATTGTGTAACGGTGTTTCCGATTCTATACGCAATAACTAGTAAATCAATATTTAACTGTTACTTAAGGATAGCAAATTTAATAGGAAGAGTGTTTAAGTCTTTTATTTTGTCGTAACCTGAAAAGGCACTGGATGACCGTTTCTTCCCAGTAAGGGACTTCTTGGTAGTGCGTATCCACGACTCTGCACACGGGAATCGAACCCAGAACCCTAGCTTTTGCACGCGAACACTTAAAATCTAGACCACTGAGTTGGCATCCAACGGTGTTAATGTCTAACTTTAATTAATCCACGATATTGCGCAACCATCTATTGTTTTCTATGGGTAACTGCCTCACATCGGATATGGTTGAACTCCAGGTTTTCAATGGTTGTCCAACATTGATCATTTCATGATTTCTGCGGGACTTAAAGAACTCCACAACCATATACTTACGAAAAGGTTATTGCGGACCATATCATTATCACCTTGAATAATAATAGTAAACTTACTGGTGTCACTCATATTAGATTAATATTTTGATTTGAAGATATCTTTTGAATTCTGTTATGCTAAAATTTATTGCATCGATGTGTTTCAGTTTACAAGGCATTTTTTGTGTGCAATTTACCCTTGTTCATATTTATGAATACACGGATGGGAAAGGTTGATATATTTGTTAGTAACGTTTTCCTCTAAGTATATATTTACTCACCTCATTTCGACCTGTATAACATCTATAAGGATTAATGTTACTATGTAGCTGCTCAAAGTAAGTGGTATTTCGTCAGTTCTTCCATAACTCACTTATTAAGTACATGTTTATGTATTCTACTTTCGATCATACAGTCTTTCTAGAAGTTAGTTAGTGTAGTTTGAACTTGCAACTTACTGATTAAAAGCTGTTTAATTCCTTTCGACACCAAAATGCCACTCCATACAATATCGCCTTCAGTATTATATCAAATTCTATCTTAAACTAATGCAAACTTTCTTTACTATGCTGTTAGGTTTAAAAGTGAAGCTAATCAATTGAAGTTTATGATTTATAGGTGTGACTTGATTATCAAGATCATTATCGTTATAATTTTATTTCTGCTTATTCAGATACCTGTGGATAGTTCTGAAGGTTTACGCTTCCGTAGTAGTTATTCTTATGTTCAATCAGCTTCCCATATAGCTATTTTGGATCCGTTTACTGGAGAGCAGAAAATGATGTGGACGCATTTAAATGATCCTAAGATTGTATATGATGTCTGTAAGTGCTTTATTATTTTTATACGTAATTCATTATCTAACAGTTGATGTAATTTACGGTCAGGCTCAACTACTAATTCACACTATGATTAATATAACTAAATATAGAGAAAATACGTTAAAATACATGAAAGTTTTAATCGAATGCTATGTAAATTTGTTTAGTTTGCGTATGGTTTTTAATCATGAATTGATATTTGTTGGAGCACTATTGAAATCAAGTGCACTGGACAGAAATTTCATCGGAATATTTAAGACTCCCGTATAATGTACATCCTCCCTGAATCAAACCTATGACCTTTAGGTCTCGTGGTTAACGTTCTAAGTGGTGTCCCAGCTAATTTGGAAATTAAAACTCCTGCATGGAAGTTTCATATGTTGATGGATTAGTAGTTATAACTTATTCAAAGTTAGTGTAGGTTTATCTAAATTGATACTAACCTCTTGTATCCACTTTACTCGATTCTTAAGTACACTCATCTTAGAATCTTAATATGCTGTTTGATCTATGAAAATCGTTGTCTGATCTGATTAATTTAAAAGCAACATAGATAATGGTTATCTTCATACGAATATTCTTCAGTATTAGAACGAACAGTTTGACAAAAATTGAACATCGAGTGTTAGGAAGATTTGATTGTGATAATTACTGTGAAGAAGTCCAGACGAGTTTGCTGGACGAAACGTTGAAATTACTTAGATTTCAATTGCTGAGATTATTTCAAATATAATTTTCAAAAGTAGTTATCTTTATTACAAATCGTAATATCTTGTTAATAATCTTTCACATAAATCGTAATTTTGGAAAAACCTAATTACATGTGTTATGGTCATTCCAATGGGACACAATCTATCTTGTTCATATAATCACAATAATTTTAAACGTTATAGCTAAAGATTCGAGTGTACAGCAAGACAATACATTTTTACTTATTGCAAATCGATGAAATTCGCATTCTAGTATTGCTTCATCAATGTCACCAAACATATTTTCGTGTGCGAATAAAATTTAGTAGACATTTCTCAAGTAAAACAGGTTCATATAAAGAAGTAAGTCATTCAACAATTATACTACTAAAATTTACACTACTCATCATAATTCTTCCATCTATTCCTTAGTGCGATGACAACCTGATAATGTCGTTTTACTGAACGTTATGGATTACTTACTCACACTTGTTACCCCTCGTGGAGGGGCATAGGCTGCCCACTAGCATTCTACGTCAAACTCTATCCTTGAAAATCCTTTCCAGTTGTTTCCAGTTGCTATTCATTCTTTTCATGTCTGCTTCCGGCTCCCAACACACTGTGTTGCATTAGTCTCCCTCCTTTCCGTTTCCCTTCAGGATTCCGAGTTAGCGCTTGCCTCATTATTCAGTTTGATGATTTCCGTAATGCATACCCTATCCACTTCCATCGTCTTCCTAATTTCCTCTTCAACTGGAAGCTGGTTGGTTCTCTCCCACAGTAGATTGTTGCTGATGATATCCGGTCAACAGCGGGCATTGAGCATCTCTCGTAGACAAGTTGTTTATAAGTACTTGTACTTATGTGATGATAGTTGTGTTAGTTTTTTAAGTTTCAGCTCCGTACAGTAGAAATGACAGTCTTGACGTTCGTCTTGATGATTCTGACTTTGGTGTTGGCTTGTAGACAGTTATTTCGAGTTCCACATGTTCGTCAACTGTGTGAATGCTGTCCTTGCTTTGTCAATCCTTGCATTTACCTCTGCATCGGATCCTCCACGTTCATCGATGATGCTGTCCAGGTGTGTGAAGGCTCCCACCTGTCCCACAGTTTCTCCATCAAGTGTAATTCGGTTTGTGTTTTCCGTGTTGTACCTGAAGATGTTGCTTTTCCCTTACGTATGTTGAGGCCTACTGACTCAGATGCTGCTACTACACTGACAGTCTTCACTTGTATTTGTTGGTGTGTATGGGATAGGAAAGCTAGGTCATCCATGAAGTGAAAATTGTCTCGTTGTCTGCAAGCTGTTCATTGTACTCCGTGTTTCCCATGATCTGTATGGGTCTTCATAATCTTGTCAACCACCAGAAGAAGGAGAAAGTGAGAAAGTAGTCAGCCTTGTCTGACTCTGGTCTTCATATGGAATGCATCTATGAGCTGTCCTCCATGCATCTCTTTGCAATGTAGTCAGTCATATGAATTCCGTATGATCTTGACGGTTTTTCAGCTACTTACACCATAGTTTCGAAGAAGTTTCCATAAAGTTCTTCTATCCACACTGTCGAATGCTTTCAGTGGAGCTGGTCTATTCAAGAGTTCCTCAAAATATTCTACCCATGTTTTCCCCTGTTCTTGAATCTCGTTGGTTGACTTGCCTTCTTTATCCTTGACCAGTCTCTCTGGTTTACTATATTCCCTTTCCAGTTTCTTCATCGTGTCACGTAATTGAAGCTTTTTCCATTGTCGTTGCTAGCTCTTCCACGTATTTGTGCTTGTCAGTTCTAATGCTTCTCGTTTGCTTGTTTGTATCTATGTATTCATCTTTTGCCTTGATTTTCTCTGTTCTTGTTCGGCTGTTGTTGATTCCTGTCTTCCTGTTCTTCCTTTTGAGTCTTGTCCAGGATTTCCATAGAGATCCATTCCTTATGATGATGTTTGTTGCGGCCCAGAACCTTCTGACACATTGAATTTAAGTCTTCTTCGATTCCTTTTCAGTTGATCTCCATATTAGTTTTCACATCTCTGAGTAGATCTAGTAAGACTTGGAACGTGTTATTGAGAGGTATCTTGAATTCGTTCTGTTTGTCAGTATCCGGAAGAAAGGCTTCATTGAAACTTTGTAATGCTGTTTCTCCAGTTGTCTAGTACTTCTTTAGCTTCAGTTTCATCATGAAAACCAACAGTTGGTGGTGATACGAATTCATGTCAACTCCATTCCTGCTTCTCACGTCTTTCATTGACCTTCTGAATTTTTTAGTGATGCAGATATGATCGATCTGGTTCTGTGTAGTGTGATCCGGTGATACCCATATAGCTTTGTTTATGCGCTTGTGTAGGAATACAGTGCCACCTATAAACATTGTGATGAATTCACATAAATTTGCAAATCTGTCACCATTCTCGTTCCCGTCTCTGAGTCAGTCCTTGTCGTCCCATGATACCTTCGTACCCAATGTTGTCCATTCCAACTTCGGCGTTCTAGTCTCTCATCAGGATGGTCGAGTCGTTTCCTGTGCACTTCGCTATGATCGATTGCAGCCTCTTGTTAAAATGGTCCTTGTGTAGTGTCGGTTATTATGTTAAGCCCAAATAACTTATTCTAGCTTCTGGACAGACCTATTTATTCATCCTTCTTGAGTAGTCACGTTTTGACCTTGTTAATTATTCACTTATTAATCTTGACTTTTTCTATGAGCATATGTGTGTACACTTCTTATCTCATTCATCACGTGTCTGTAACTAATTTTTTGTGACTATAAATATCGATTAACGCTTGATTAAATGGTCAGTCAGTCAGTCAGCTACAACGTAGGACCAGGCACATGTATGCATCGGCCCAGGTTGCCATACCTCATTAGCACAGCAAGATGAACACCGGATTCATAGGAGTGGTTAGGTCAAAGGTGGTAATATATAGGAGAAAGATTGCAATAAGGATATAGTATAGGAAGAAAGAATTAGTTCGTAGAAAGAAAGATGTGAAGTGATCTTAATCTCTTAGTTTAAGAGAAGACAGAGAGTGTATACACCGACGCCATTGTGATCGATTCTGAGCCATGTCACCAAGGGTCTCCAACCATTGGTTACGAAAGTCACGCGGACCCCAACCAAGTAGTCTGCATCTACCAACATGGCTCAGACTAGAAGTTAGTGACTTCAGGCACTGATGCCACGTTTTGGTTTGGCCGCCCCTAACTTTCTTCCAACCATCCCCTACACCGGTTAGCATTGCACGTCGCGGTAATCGGTGTTCAGGCATACGTAATACGTGGCCCAACCATCTCAGTCGATGAAGATTCATAACCTCATCAACTGATTTACCATCATTCCCTAATACCCTGCGTCTAACCTCACTATTACTTACCCGGTGATCCCAGCAGATGCCAGCAATATTTCTAAGGCATCTGTGGTCAAATACTAGTAGCTTACGGGTGTCTTCTACTCTTAAGGGCCATGTTTCGCTGCCGTAAATTAAAACAGAACGAACAGCCGCGCAGTATACTCGTCCTTTTATTGATAGACGGATATCTCGCCTCCGCCAAAGGTGACGTAAGTTGGCAAAAGCCAAACGAGCTTTACGAATCCGTGCTGAGATTTCGTCAGACACCAACCCATTAGGGCTGATCAGACTTCCAAGATAAGTGAAGTTGTCAACTCGTTCGACTACTTCACTCCCTATCCTTAGTTCAGGTGTTGACGCAGACCAGTCCTGAAGCAACAACTTGCATTTAGAGGGAGAGAAGCGCATCCCAAACATTCTGGCATTGTTGCTTAGTGCTACCAGAAGACTCTGCATTTTGTCAGCGTCTTCACCAAACAGGACTATGTCATCTGCATATTCTAAGTCGATAAGTGGACCTCCTGGAAGGAGATCAATACCCGAGAATTCAGTCGACGAGAGTGTTATTTCCATCAATAGGTCTATGATGAAGTTAAACAAAAATGGAGAAAGTGGGCAGCCTTGACGGACACCACTTGAGGTTGCAAAAGTAGATGACAGTTCGCCATAAGCCCTGACTCGACTAGTAGTGTTCGAGTAAAGAGCCTTCACAAGGTTTATGTACTTCTGAGGTACGCCTTTCAATGACAGACACTGCCACAGAGTCTCGCGGTCTACAGAGTCAAATGCTGCTTTTAAGTCAAGAAAGACCACCATCGTCGGACGCCGATAGGTATGCCTGTGTTCTAGAACCTGACGAATGGTGAATATGTGGTCGATGCAGCCACGACCAGGTCTAAAGCCAGCTTGGTTCTCTCGTGTTTGTAGTTCACGAGTCTTAGTTAGGCGTTTGATAATTATCGAGGCCAGTATTT